AATAAGTGTTGCTTTTCTGTTTTTGAGGAATGCAACTAAATAATGCACTGCATAGCTATTTAAAATCCAGCAAAAATCCTAATATATTCCACTAAAGAGTTTACCCATCGTTTGTGAGTCCACATGTGTGCCCACATGGGTCTGTTGAATTATTTGTGCTTTTTCCAGTAGGAAAGGTGAAGCTCTTAAGACCCAAAGAGGGGCTTTTAAAGCAGTTATTGACTTCTGTCTCTTCAGCTGACCACCATCCTGTCCTTGTGCCCAGGTTGCTTAGCTACAAAATTGTGGCTACTGTCAATTGACAGAAGGGTTAAAACGCTGCTCAGTCTATGCTGCCTTCCTACTGCCCACTTAACAGAAAAACACTCCTATTGCTGCAACTGGCAATGCATATCTAAAAGGACAGCAGCTAACAAATCAATAACTGTTAGGTTGGTCAACTTGGCATATGTTAATACCCTTATAGAAATAAAAATGTATGCAATAAATTTGATTTTCAAACAATGATTTTATGCTTCCTCTGTATCATAATTATCTTCTTCCTGTCAGATGAAAAAAATGCAATACAATTATCCTTACATGCTTCTGAGATGTGATTTAATAATCTCTTAAGTAACTATATTAGCTGTTTGCTCATCACTTGCATCATTGTGTCAGAAAGCGTTTATGATTACAAGAAGCATCTTTAAAAGATAATGTGTGAATAATGGTTTTTAATACATGAAAAGAAAATCTAACACACATAGAAAAATGTTAAAAGTTGTGTAACACTTTATTTAAGAATATATTTTGATACTAAAGACTGAAATCGAAAACAAATATCTTTATACAGAGAATAATAACAGTATGGAAAATCAATGGTGTTTTCACCTTTTTTTTTTTTTGAAAACAATGCCGATTTACCTCGGCTTATAAGACCTAGGCCTACTTGGATATGTACACATTCTGATATACATTACATTGTTTGATGTTTATGCAGATAAAAATGTAAAATTAGACGTAATTACATACAACTCAACCAAAGCAATGGTTTAAAAAGTTATTGTTTATATCATTATGGGTACATAGATTTGAAAATAGTTTGCAAACTCTGGCAGCTAAAGGGAAAACAAAGAAGAAAAAAAGAAAGGGGCCTAAAATGGAGTTATGTGGAATTCCGTAGGTCAGATGTTTACAACCCTGATCCGCAGGGACCAATATTCAGTACATTTTAGGTGTATCCTTACTGCCCCACACCTGGTTTAAATGAACGGGTGATTAACAGTCTTCTACAGCACTTGATGGCAAACAGAAAAGAGGCATATATTCAAATTGGATGTGCTTAAAAAGAACTCAATCTAAAACATTCAGAGCTGAGGTCTGAATTGTCCCACCACAGCAGTTCTTAGATATCCATAGCAATAATCTTGTTCAAAAATCAATAGCAACTAACACAGTTTCCCAAATCCGTGACTTAAACCCTCAAAAAAAAAAAATCAGCTTCTGTAACAACATTGTTTAACATCAGAATAAAATTTTGGTTAAAACTTTTATTCCCTCCAAAATGTCTGCAGCTAAAACAAAATCGTGTATTGAAAGATTGAAGGCTAAGGCCTGAAGTTTAAATGGGACATGGATCTAAATGTAGCTTTCTTAATGAACTGGCTTTGCTGCAGCGTATTAACTAATTGGTTTTCAATGATGTTTAGATGCTCATCCTAATCTTTAATCAATTAATTCAAATGAGATTTTGTGAGATTTTAGAAATTAAGCAATAATGATTTGTCCTTTATTTCAATCAGTAAGATGGCTCCTAAACACCAACAACAAACAGTCAGGTTTGGAATCCAGAAAAAGTAAGGCAAAAAAAATGAACCAACAACAATCAATTTCTCCTCCACTCCTCCTCTTCCCACCTTTGCCTGTGTGTGTGCTGAGAAACAAAGCAGGGACCGAGACGGCTGTTATTGTCACCCGAATTAAATAATATAAAAAAAATAAAAAACAGATTTATTCAAAAGAGCTGAAAAAACAAACAACAGACAGAGAGAGTGAGCATGTAGCCTCCGGGAGAAGAAGAGTGACAGTGGAGTGGCTGAATAAAATCAGATTTTTATCCTTCATGGCAGCATGCATAGTGGAAACTGAATATCTGCACTCTTGGTCAAAAGAATGTGAAATGCATTATATTCTGAGATCGTATAGTTCTGAGACTTCATAGGAGGATAGAGCTGTTTAAATTAGGGGCACATATTCTTTAGTGTTGCAATGCTCCGTCATTCAATGTTACATGAAGTTCATGTCTCATCTGAATTCTGCAGGAAACCTACAAAGTAAGAGCAGCGACCTTAAACAAAAGGTTCCCACCTCTGTCAAAGGTTGGCTCTGACATGAAGCTTAAGCTGACACATTCTTCTCTCATTCCCCCCTTCCTTATAATCACAGATCGAACATGTATCTCCATACCCGTCAGCGTACATTTTAAACTGCAATCCTATTTAATCTAAATATTTGACCGATGTTCCCCAAGGCACCTATTCTTACCATAAAAATCCACACAAATGCAGCCTTACATATATATAAAGAAGTAAAAGGTCAACCGTTCAAAGCCTGACCCTGTGACGGTGTCTGTTACTTTGATAAATAACCACTGGAAAATGAGGCAGCATATAAATCAGAAGAAAAAAAAAAGAGAAACATTTCTACAGGCATATAGGAACTCTTATCTGCAGTCAGTGGCATGGGAAATAAAAAAAAGAACCCACCAGGGACATTCAGTGCATGCTCCTGAAATACATTATCTGTTGCATTTTGAGTGCATGTAGTTCTATGTAGGAAAGCATTTGAATCAACTGCATTGGTTCTGACTCACCTCAGATTACAAACGTCTATTACAAGCAATGCCATCAATCTGAGCCCCAAATCTGAATAAAAGCAAATTCTGTATGATGTTAGATATGCACACATCGTTTCTTTCTTTAAAATAAACCCTACGTTGCATGTGAGTGGATATAAGAAGGTCACAGTAGTGTTTTTAATCTATATGCATCTCTTTTGGTTTACTAAAATACTCTTAATGAAACATTTGCTTCAAAATAAAGACTTCTTCTTAAGAAACAAGCTCTCGATTAGCAGCCCAACTTTCAATCAAACCATTTGTTTGTGATGCTGCAGAGCATCAACCCAACGAACCTGTATAAGAACAGGTGCTGCACAGAGCTTAGGTGGTAATATAACCCCTCAGTCCCCACCCACTCCTGATATCCGACTTGTCAGAAAAAGTAATAAAGGTTGACAGACATCCACATCTGGCCCTACAGTTTCCCTCTGTAATAAACTGTAGCTTAATATCAGCCCTTATAGACCCTTCACAGCAGCACTGACATGAGCTAAAGTGCTAAATAAAGATATTCCTACAACTATGTTCCACATGGTACATCCACAGATTACCATTTCAAATGGGAATTTGATCAAAAATGGATAAGCCACTGGGTCTTTTTTATTACCATTTATTTTTATTACTGAGAAAATCAAAGGTCGCTTAGAGACAAAAAATATTAATAAGCAACAGAGGCCATAGATTGCATCTTATCTCTGTAAGGTCTCTGTAATAGGAGCTTGGAGGAAAGACACAAAAGCTGTTTATTATATGAGAGCAAACAAACATCCACCATTATGCATGAATGTCTTCACAAACAATAATGGACCAAACAGTACCCTCTGAATCCAATTAACCCTTTGCTCTGATCTCCTGAATGCATCTATGCTCCCATCTTGTAACACCAGACCTTCCCGCTATTTCATTAGCACACATGCACACTGAGATCCGCCGCTGCCTTTCCACCATTCGAGCCCAGTCACAGCTAATGCACCTCGTATAATCAAATCCACCAATCGCAGTATTCCGTGCAAAGACCCGTGTCACATGACTAACTGCACATTAGCTCGACGCTTGCTTGGAGTTAGAGCTGTCATTTTGCACTAATATGATTCCAGTATATCTTTTTTTTTCTTCTTTAATCTGATTTGGGAAGTCTAAGCTCTGGCTTCTACGAGTCTAGCGCTAAAGCCCTGGTGGGCTAGGCTAATCAGTTTCCAACATTTCTAAGGGAGACAATGATCCCAGTGTTAGCGCTGGCTAATGACAAGCTAACACAATCAACATAGCCTCCCTCGAGGTGAGCTCAGAGCCAAGGCCCAATCATGCCCCACCTCCTGCAGGCTCCTCATCCACTTCCCCTACATTACTATGGAGTCTAATGGGCTCTTATTAAGAAGACAGATGGATGAAGAATAGAGAGAGATTCTGCGTCTTCTTCAGTTACATTAACGTGCTGGATATGAGCTACCCCAACGACAGCTTAAATGTGTAAAATTGCCCTCCAACAGATTTTTATTACTGCAGGTGTGGCATGTTTGCACCTATTATCAAGATAAAAGGATCAGCATGATAAGAAACACATGCACACAAAAATATGAAGTAATTTAGTAAAATTCCTTATTTGTTTAACCTTTGACATATATCTATGCAGGGGTCCTACACGTTTTTCAAGTTTAAATTCTATTATTTAGGTGTATTTTGGTGTATTTACGTAATAATTACAACAGACTGATTCTCAAAAAAAAAAACAGAAAATGAGATGGATGCATGGGTGGACAATAAGGGAGGAAATGTGTGATAAATGGATATTAAATATAGTCCTAATGTTTCAAACTCCAACCAAAAAGAAATAAAGAAAAAGTTTTTGCCATCATCTAGATAGTATTTTGACTTCTTAACTTTTCCTAATTACTTTTCAGACAGAGGAATTATAAGCAGGAAGAGTGATATCTGTTTTTAAAGCTTCCCTCTGTAGTTATCAGCGTCAACTTCAGGTCGGCACACAGTTTAAAGAAAAGCAGTGTTAGAATGTTATCATTGAAACACTTTAGATAGAAGAGTGGTTCATGTTTATCATTCTTGTTTGCTCTTACAGTTTTTATGTATTAGTTGGTGAATTACTAATTATAAGCACACTTACTTGAATTTGGCATTTATCTGGTCTGCAGCTTTATGATAGTTCTCTGTAGTGACCTTGTAGAGCTGCGCGCTCTGCAAAGAGAAAGGGAAAAGAGTAAGGAATGCATGATTATAACAGCTTAATAATGAGTTAAGAAAATTAAATTATCTAAATTCTTCAGATGAAACATGCTTCTCAATCTCTATATCATTATTTTTTTTTACTTTTTTTTTTACTAAACAAAGAAAGAAAAAACAACTAATACTTTTCTAAATTCATCATTCTTAATCTAGGGAAAGAGTATAAAATACTTATATATTTAGGGACACTTGTAGCATGTCATTTTTATATGCACCATCACAAATAACTCAGCTGAATGCTGAAAAAAAGCATAGGGCCTCGACACATACACACCCACTTAATAAACATGAAAAAAATAAATCCTGTTCTGTAGCAAAAGGTACTCTTAAATCAAATCTTTAAGTCATTCGTGCCCATCACAGACTGCTAAAGGTGCATTGAGAAATAATCCAACATGAAGAATACATCATTGCTCAAATTATTCATCGGTCTTTGTGGTACAGGCTTCCACCGTACAACAATGAAACTCACTGGTTTGGCACAGCCGTGCCAACCGACATGCACACAGCTGAAGACTATCTGCAGCACACTTCAATACTCTATGTGAAGTCTTGTTGATTTTTTGCTCTGTTCAGACAATTTTGTTCTAACTGATGCAGACATGGCATGAAATTCAAAACTTAACACTTTTCCCCCCCTTTTTGCAGGGCAGCTGCAGCATTGTTCTGAAGCTGTGCAGCATCTCTGCTCTATGCTTTTATATTCCTAGTATTCCAAATGATTCCCATATTTTATAATTTATTAAATGTACAACTCCTTGTATGTACATAAAAACAATACTCTTAATTAATTTATTCTTTTACATATTTAAGCAGTTAAAGGCACACCGCAGACTTTGTGACCCAAAGAGTTGGCACTTACTGTACGAGTTATTTTAAATGATTCCTCAGGTCAATATACAGCACTTGACACTATCAGTGCTATGAGCGGGGCTCCCTTCTTGAAATACCACCTATGTAAGTTGGGAAAAGACGTACCATCATTGGCCAGGTCATGTGACCTGGAAGAACGTATCGCTTTACGGCCGCAGGCTCTTACATAGTCATGGAGCTAAGGCTTTTGCTCTACTATTTTTCCACCTGCTGAACTACTGGGTCATGGCTGATGGAAGAAAAAAGTTTAAACTTTCTGAGGAGGCTAAAATGAGAAAACGTTAAAGAAATCGTGTGCAAGGGAAAAACAAGAGTCGATCTTGGAGTGGAGTTTGCTTGTTGGCGCAGGCTGAAAGAAGAAGGCAAATGTAAAACCGATTCTTCTTTTCCCAACTTTATTATTAGACTGGCAAGTTAACACTTTGCTCCTGGTATACAGTCATATATCTTTGCTATTATTTTCAACGTTTAGTAGAGGCAAAATAGGGGCAGTTACAGTGGCCAAAAGTTACACAGTGTGCTTTTAAAGAGCGCTTATTTGACCAAAGTGCATTTATCAGGCCAGCTATTTGTTAACAGTTTAAAACTATAATGGTTACTTGCTTTGATTTCTCACTTGGTAAATAAAAATAAACTCCAGGCTGCGATTGAATGTTCCACACAGGAGCCCTATAATGATTCTCCAGATGTCTTTTACTTGTCCTTAATGCCTCATTCAAGTATTGTTACCTAATAATCCAAAATAAAGTTTGAAAAAATGGATCCATATACTCAATCAGCTTTTTTTTTTAAATATTTAATTCAGAAAAAAATAAATAAGTAAAAAAAAAACTGCTCTCCATTTTTTCATATTTTATTAAAAAAAATTTTAAAACACAAACAAAATATTGTTTCTTGTATTTTTATTGTTGGTTTCAAAGTGAAAAACAGATGAACGAATGATACACAGATTTACAATGCTCCAATTAGCTCATTTCCACTCATCTCACCTATCAAACCTGATTAAAATCTAATAGAAATGAACTTTACAAACACAGAAAGCTTTTTGCAGGTATACGGCTTGCAAAGACAAACTATTAGACCTTTTCTACTACAGTGAAAAGGTGTGAATTATGGGCGCTTGTGCTTATCCTCTCACAAAAGCCTGCTGCAATAACAGAGAGCAGTCCTGCAAGGCCACAAGGTCGCTAGTCAACAATGTACAGACAAGTGGTCAAAATCCCCTGGTGACCCGTAGTAAATGAGACCATAGTGCGAACACTCAACCTAAATTACCTCCTTAAAGACAGCTATATACCCTCACTTCTGGAGCATTTATACAACCCCGGGAAGATCCTTCTTGTCACTCTCCAGAGGCTGTTATGCACATTTATAATCATATCCTGAGAGGCTGTAAAGTATGACAAATAGCTTGATTGAAGGTGGTTTGAGTTTTCAAAGATGTCTGGGAATGTCTAGCATTACAAAGACATTTTTGTTGGAAAGAGGACATCACATTCCAGAAATGGCTCTTTTCAGATATATTGCACGTATTTCATTCTATGCTACAGTTGGTGTTTTGCTCTCTAACTTGGTAATTAGATTAAAATTAAAGTTGAACAATTGTATAGATGTTCTTTTTTCTTAAGAGTATCTGTAAAACCATTTACACTCAGGTCAGCACGTCCACTAGCTGACAACAACTAAAGGCATCCCCATAGGGGTTTAAATGCTTTTCTTTTCATTTCTGATAATGCAGCAATCTAACACCAAAGCTCAATGATATTGTTTAAAACTTTAGAAGGCAACATGTGGGCCAAGTTCAGCATAGAAACATGTACATATTCAGATATACAACAGCATTGAATTAAATATAAATTTAAAAAAGGTTTTGCTAAGATATACGAATGAATCTCATAAATCCATATCATTTCGAAAATTAATTGTATTAATAAAATATATTCCAGCACAAAATATTTTAAGCTATGAAATATTTTGATGGTTGTGGCTTTTAGCTCATGAAAACCCCAAATTCAGAGTTTGAAGTTCAAAATCTCAAGTTAAGTCCTAAACAGTTCTGGTTAAGACTGCTGACTTGACAGCTGTCCAGCAGATATTTGTGAAAACCCTCCACAACAAGGCCAATGCTAAACAGGTCATTTCCTACAGAAGCTAACTGTTTATATGGACATGTACCCAAGAATGTCAATAGTACGCTGAGTAACAGGAATATGTGTTTTTGAAAACAGTAAACAGGAAGAAGTCGGCAGCCTTTAGAGGACTGAGAAGCAAAGCCTAACTAAGAGTTCATGGGATATTCACTAGGCATGAGCTGGGGTTCAGGAGCCACCATATAAAAGCTACAAGAACACAACTATTACACGACATCTCTGGATTTTCTCTAAGTAAAAGAAATGTATCCCTATGAAGTGATTTTAATTTAAGGATTGAATAACTAAACTTTACTTTTTGTTGATAACTCATATCACTCAATCTGTAAATAGACATATTGCACTCATATGCCTCATATGTGAAATATTCCTGAATGCAGGCTGGGATGTTATAAATAATTAACTATAGAGAATTTGGTAGGAATGGAATTAGCTAAAAACAAATGCAATGACTTATGGAAACATTAAAAATGCCAGCTGCATTCCAACTTCTCAAAGTTCTCCAACCACATCTAAAATGACAAAACTTAAAAAAAAAGTCTGCATACTTTATCAACTAACAATGAGATGCTTTTTTTTATTTCAGCTTTTTGCTGCCATCTTGTCTTCACCTTCTTAGAGAAAAGACATTCATCATAGTTCAGTAAGGATCAATAGGAATGAAGTGCACTGCTGAAAAGATCAATAGTCATGTGCTGTAGAGGTAAAAGAGGATGGGACATGACACTGACAAAAGGTCTAAAACCAATTAGATTTCTGTTCATTTGGATGGACAATTTTATAGATGAACTGCACTTTACTGAATTTACTTCACCGAGTCATGATGTATGGAGTATTTAAACTATTTCTCTGGCCATAACTAACTGAATCATTTATATAGCTAAAGAGAATGTAGATAAAAAATGCAGCCATGATAAATGTGTATATTTAGGAGAACATATATGATAAAAACATATTACAGAATGATTTTTTATGAATATGCTGAGATTTAAATGTTGTCCTTCTGAGAAAATAACAAAAATGCTTTTTTCTTTAAACAGAATAACAGAGAAAACGATTTTTTTTAACCAAGCCTGCTTGAATATAACCACAAAATAACAAATTTGTAAAGGTGTGCTAAAGACGGCAGAATAAATCCTCTCCTTGGTGCTGACATTGAACCAATGGCAAAGAAGGAGAGAGAACCGGAACTGACTTGGTTCTGTGTCTGGAATACTAAGTATAAGGTAATAACACCTGCCTAAATGGCAGAGCTGGCACTAATCAGCGCACTAATCCACCTGAGACGACAAAAGATTGTGTGTCAGTGATTGCAAGGTATTTTTTCCCTGATCCAGCAGCAAACACATAAAAATATGCAGTTTATTTTTTGTACACAACAGTAAAAAAAATATCTGAAAGATAAACACCATAGAGGAACATGTGTAGACACAAACTAAATGGTGTACCTGCTCCCTGGGGGCTGGATATAAACAGTGACTCACTCAACAGCAGAGAAGAGTATAATTTGTGTGATTACTGAGTGGTCTTAAATTGTGCTATCCTGCTGTTATTCCCAACTGATTTTGCCCAAAAACCTTGACCTTTTGTTAGCTCAGACAAGACAAACACTGAAGCCTTTGGTTGAGAACATTCCGTTAATAATCAGGGTTTTTGCAGCTGCAAACACAACCTTGCTTTATTTAATAAAGTGTTCTGGGCTGCTCAACTCTGCTGCACCACTGGATTAACACAACTAGAAATCAACAAGAATGTAGCAGGCTATCACAAACACAAATCCTAACTGCTAATGTAGTGCAATGATATGGAGAAGATACGAGCTGCACTTAAATACACACCCAACTGAAAGAGAAACCATCGAAAAGTATTAAGCACATAAATGCAAGTACTATTGGACTCCCCCCTCCTTGCTGCAGAGTAGAAAGGCAT